AGTAAACAAAGATCATGTTGGCGGTGATACGGGTCATGGAAACAAATCAGGAGAAAAAGTGAGAGACACGCTTGGTGAAGGGTTAGGGAAGTCAGAGAGGCCTCCTCCAGGATGTGACATTGGAGCCGAGACTGACCGGCCACTCAGAGCCTGAGGGGAGAGCTTGCCAGGAAGAGGGAAGGAACAGCCAGTGCAAAGGCCATGAGGCAGACGGAACGTGGGGAGGGGCTTGGAGATGCAGCCAGAGCCAGCACGGGGGAGATCGCAGGCGTCTGCAGCCTTGGCAACCACACATTCTCGGCCGGTGGAGCCTCCTGTCCAACAGCTGCATCGATGACTGACACCTCAACCACATCTCTCGGTTGCCTCTTCCACCTTCACGGCACAGAGGTCCTCTGTCAGCTCCAGAGGGACGAGAACTATCGAGACTCTAATCTGCGCCTCCTTCCCTCTTCGTGGCAAAGCCAGCCCAGGCCTTGAAGGACACTCTTGGCAAATTCACCTCTACTTCCCAGCCCTTAACGATAAGGCTCTAGAGTGAGAGCACGTTGATTCAGCCACTCGCTAACTCTGGGCGAGTCACACCTTGATTTCCTCATCTGTGAAAGAAGAGAAGCATCAGGTGGTAGCACGAATTGAACGGGGCGATGCCCGGAGCCTGGTGCCTTGCAAGCACTGGTAAGGCTTAGTTACTGTCACAGCTGTTGGGTTGGTTCAAATACAGCTGTTGGCCCGGCGTGCACGGGCCACGTAGAGGTTTACTGGGGTTTGTCCCTGGACCCCGTTCCTCCTTCCATGAGTTATATCACTTAGACCCTTCCGTAGGCAGAGTAGCAAATTCACACTGACAATTCAGATGGATATTGCTTTCTCATAACAATAACAAAAATAACCATAGCTAACATTTATCTGCGTCTATGGTGTGCCAGGCTCTGTGCTAATGCTTACATGGCTAATTCTTCATTTAACCCTCACAACATCCTATGAGGTGGGTGCTGCCATTGCCCCCCTGGAGAAGATGAAAGCAAACCTCCGAGGAATGAGGTGGCCCGTCCCGGGCCATACAGGTGGAAATAGTAGAGCCCAAGCCATGCGGCACCAGAGCCTGCCCTCTTAGGCAGGATGCTTAATCTTCAAGGCAACAAGCATCCATGAGTAGGTGCTGCGTTTCAGACTACGTTAGGAGCAGAGGCACAGATATGTGCAGTAGAATGGCTAATTATAGTATTATGGGTGTAGTACAAATTATATGTGTAGCAGTAATGTCTCTGGGTTGAGTCGTGTCCCCCCAGATTTCATGTCATTCCAGAACCTGTGAACGTGACTTTATTTGGAAATAGGGTCTTTTCAGACGTAATCAAGTTGAGATGAGGTCATACTGGATTAAGATGGGCCTTAACGCCAATGACTGGTGTCCTTACAAGAAGAGGGAGGTTTAGACACACACGCAGGGAGGTACGTGAACTGTGGAGGTGGACGGTGCAGGGCTGAGGCTGCAAACCAAGGGCTGCTGGCAGAGTCACCAGAAACAGGAGAGACGCCTGGAACGACTCCCCTCCGGAGCCTCCAGCAGGACCAGCCCCGCCCGTGCCTCGATTTAGCACTTCCCGCCTCTCAACTCTGAGAGGATAAATATGACTAGTGGCCTATTTGAGGCCACTAATTTTTCTTATAAGTCTAGTTGATTGACTATGTTGTGCTAGTTTCAGGTGTACAGCAAAATGATTCAGTTATACATATATATATTCTTTTTCATATTCTTTTCCATCATGGTTTATCCCAGGAATACAGTTCCCTGTGCTCTACAGTAGGACCTTGCTGTCTATCCATCCTATATATAATAGTTTGCATCTGCTCATCCCAACTCCAAATCCATCCCTCCCCCACCTCCCCTCCCCCTGGGCAACCACAAGTCTGTTCTCTACGTCTGTGAGTCTGTTCATAAGTTCATTTGTGTCATATTTTAGATTCCACATATAAGCGATATCGTATGGTGTTTGTCTTTCTCTGTCTGACTCACTTCACTTAGTATGATCATCTCTAGGTCCATCCATGTTGCTGCAAATGGCACTATTTCATTCTTTTTTTTTTTTCCCACACGTGGGAACTAAGATCCCACATGTGCAGCATGTGGGATCTTAGTTCCCCGACAAGGGATCGAACCCGCACCCCCTGCAGTGGGAGCGCGGAATCTTAACCACTGGACCGCTAGGGAAGTCCCAATATTTCATTCTTTTTCACACAGGCCACCTAATCTGTAGTAATTTGCTGCGGCAGCCGAGCACACTAATAAAAGGGAGACAATAGAAAAGGTAGTTTCTCAAGTCACCCTTAGCCCCTGTTTGGCAATAAGCATTCTTTCTGAAAGTCATGGTTCCCCACTGGCGGTGAGTAGGCAGCGAAAAGCCCGTGATGAATCAATCCCTGGCCTCACAGGAAGCTTGCTTTCCTGTCAACAAAGCACAGAGTGAAAAGCCGTCAACCTTGGGCCAGAGGGCTGTCTGCCTGGCCACTGTCACAAGGCTCCGATGGAGAGAATATTTTCATCCAAGGGAGGAAAAAGTAGCAGAGCCCACCCAACTGTATTTGCCTCTGGTCCCCGAGATGCCCCTTCCACTCAGGCTGACAGCGTGCTGGTGGGGACAGCTCACAAGAAGAACCCCGAGGCTCACAAATCTCGGTTTAAATAATGGGCCAGATATTTCCCCACAAACCCTCGACACGAAAAGCAGAAGTTCTTAAGCACTTGGCAACCCAGTTCCCTTTGAGGATCTGTTAAATGCTCTGCATTAACTCTCAACCCGAGGGAGAAAAAAAAAAATCTGACATGCAAAATTTGGGGTGACATTTCAAAGCACCCTGAACTCCTGCAGCCCATTTACTGATGAACAAATACTTCTGAATGGCCCACGAGGTGCCGGGCACCGTGTTAGGAATACAAGCGTGGAAGAAGAGACAAGGCATTTTTCTTCCTGAAGCCCAGAGCTAGAAGGGCAGTGTATAATTTCCTGTGGCTGCCATAACAAACTACCAGAAGCTGGTGGCTTACAATGATAGAAATGTATTCTCTCACAATTCAGGAGGCGAGAAGTCTGAAACCAAGATGGCAGCAGGGTTGGTTCCTTCCGGAGGCTCAGAGGAAGAGTCCGTTCCAGGCCTCCCTCCAGCTCCTGGTGGTGTCTTTGGCTTGCAGGCACATCACCCCATCCTCTGCCCCCATCTTCACGTCACCTTCTCTGCTGCATGTCCCTCTATGTCCCCTCCTCTTTTTACAAGGACACCGGTCATTGGATTTAGGACCACTCTAAATCAAGTGGATATCACAGAGGTCTTTAACTAATGACATTTGCAAGGACCCTGTTTCCAAATAAGGTCATGTTCTGAGGCTCTGCGTAGACATGAATTTGGGGGTGACGCTATTGAACCCAGCACAGGTGGTTAAGCAGTCACCATGGAGAGCAGCAAAGGTAGACCTGAGGCATCCAAGAAAGGGTTCCTGAGGACCTCATGTGGAATTAGGAACCGGATGGTGAGTAGAAACTAAAACAGGAGTAGTGGAAAGTGCATCAGGAAGAACTAATCTCTATACGTGTCAACGCGACAGATAACCAACAAGGACCTACTGTACAGCACAGGGAACTCTGCTCAACATTCTGTAAGAACCTGTGCAGGAAAAGAACCTGAAAAAGAATGGGTATACGTATAACTGAATCACTTTGCTGCACACCTGAAATTAACACCACATTGTAAATCAACTATACTCTAATATAAAATAAAAATTAAACTTAAAAAAGAAGAAGAAGAAGAACTAATCACATAGGTGAGGCCCAAACAGAGGGAGGCAACCGCCGAAGAAGCGTTCAGACAGGAGGGGCCGTGCAGAGGACCGGTGCAGAGGATGGGCCGGGCTTGAACACTGCTCTTCGGAGTTTGGATTTTGTTCTTAGGGTCACCAAATGCCTTTGAAGGATTGGAAGCAGAGAAATGCTTCTAGAAAGTTCACCTTGGCTGAGGTGAGGAGGATGGATTGGAGAGGGTGAGACCGGACGCAGGGACACCAAGGGTCCCTATCTCAGGGGAAAGCTCCCGGCTTAAGGATGCAAGTGGCTGAAACTCCAGAGATACCCCATGTGTTGTCCTAACAGCCGGTTGGGATGATTCCCACGGAGCCAACAGGAGGGGTTTAACCCAGGCAGGTGGGATCTGAGCGGGCCAGTCAGATCAACGTCAGCCCAAGAAGAAAACCGATCTAAAATATTCATAAAATTTCGGCCAGTTCAGATATACACCTCCTCCCCTTTTGTGGTCCCTTAGCGTTAAGTGCGCCTTAAACGGACCAGTAAGTCCTGTCCGCTCACAGATAAGTAAGTCCTTTGGCCTTCATGTGCCCCACTGACTTTCAGTCACTCTTCAAGGGCACCTTCTCCCTTAAACCCCCAGGCTGGGGTCCACACCCTCCCCACAGACTCCAAAAATTCCTGATGCAGCCTCTCGGACTCGATTGTAATCTGTACTTTCCTTTCAACCTGTCTCCACTACGAGAGCTTGAGGGCAAGGATTGTTGTTTGTTCACCTTTGTGTTCCCAGCTCCTAATACACACACACACACACACACACACACACACACACACACACACACACACAGAGACACTCACACAATAAGCATTATCAGAATTCCCTGGCAGTCCAGCAGTTAGGACTCAGCGCTCTCACTGCCGGGGCCCCAGGTTCGATCCCTGACCAGGGAACTAAGATCCCAACAAGCCGTGCAGCATGGCCAAAAAAAGAACAGTTATCGTATGGACAGATGGATGGATGGATGCATGGATGGATGGACTCCTGCACGATGCTGTACTGGCTTCAAACCAAATTCATCAATCAATTAATTAAATCAACATGGACCCATCAATTGCTCTTTAAGTGCTCTATGTGGCCCCCTCCCCCCAAAAGAGTCAGGGTGAAATATCCAAAGAGATGCCGGCTTGACGTCTCAGACTCACCTCATTCCTTCTGCAGCCATCTTATCAAGGTTGGCAGTGTCCTTCGTTTCTGCCCAGTTTGCTCCCAGGTCACCCCACCCCATGTCATCTGCCAAAATGATCACGAAATTCGGTTTCTGTTCTCTTGTTTCCCCACTGAAGCTAAAATCCACGAGAGGATAAAGACATCCCAGGAAACTCACCCCCACCAACAAAACCTTTAGGAAAGGGCAGGCCATGGCGATCAGGGGAGGTTTCCAACTGTGTGCAGTGATGCAGTGGTGGAGTTTCCAAGAAGATGCTGGTGGTGATGGTGGTGGTGGTGGTGATGCCTACAGGGATGGTGGGCGCTACAGAAATGAGGCCCGCGTCTGGAATCCTAATTCACGAGAGTCGGGAAACTCACAACCCTGAACTTGACTTTCTCCAGCGCAGCCCCGTAAGGTGACGGGTCGTGTGCAGCAATCAGACCTCAGTGTCAACAACTGCTCCCTGGCCACTTAGGAGATGACCCCTCTGTGCTCAGAGATGTGAGAGCCGGAGCTCGAGCCTTGCATCTATTCGGGGCTCCAGCTGACGAGTGCGGGATAAGTTTTCACATCTGCAGAACACCTGGACGGTCTAGAAGCCACAGTCAGTCCCAGTCGAGTTTCTGAGTTCCAGATGGTTGAAGGCTTCATGTGTCTGTAAGGTTTCCTGAAAGAACAGAAATTGACGAGAAAACAGAGTTGAAACTGCCGGTGCAGCTGCGTTTTACTCAGTAGCTTAGGAAATAATCACTTTTCCATGCCGACAGATGTCCTCCTTCTTATTCGACTACTGAACGGGCTCATCGCTTTCTCCACCGGAGAAAGAGTGATGCTAATATTTGCAATAGACCTACAATTACAGGGTTGGAAGCAACAGTAGAGATGGTCTCTCATAACCCGCTCACCGTATAGAGGAGCACATACCGAGGCCCCGTGTTCCGGGTGGGGGGCAAAGGGACCAGCGCCGCGGCACTCTGTGAAATCCCAGCGCACCCCACCTCCTACCTCACGGTGCTTCTCTGATTCACAAGAAATTCCCAAACGAAGCGCGACCTTGTCAAAACCCACAGGGATTCTAGAAGAAAGGGTGAGACCCTTATTACCTTACTACCAAGACACGATTCTTTCTAACAGTCGTGCTGTAAACTAGCATTTCTATGTAAAATTCTTTTTCTTTCTTTTTGGCCGCACCTTAGTTCCCTGGCCAGGGATTGAACCTGGGCCCTCGGCAGTCAGAGTGCTGAGTCCTAACCACTGGACCGCCAGGGAATTCGTCAATAAAGGAGCAGTCTGTTTTTGTTTTTGCTTTTTTGCCACACCGTGTGGCATGAGGGATCTTAGTACCTGTACCAGGATTTGAACACAGGCCCCTTGCAGTGGGAGCTCGGAGTCTTAAACACTGGACCACCAGGGAAGTCCCTCTATATAAAATTCTTGATAGAAATTAATTGGGAAGAAAAGGAAAGAAAAAAAATCAGTTAATGGTAGAATCTAGGTGGACAGTCTAGGGAGCTCACTGTAGAACTCTTTCCATTTTGCTGTATGTTTGAAATGTTTCATAATAAAATGTTAGGAAAAAATGTCCAAAAAATGTTTAACGGAAATGTGTCCCTTTACATCTTGACAATGTAATTTTTAATAAGAAAATCTTAAGACATGCTCAACCGGTGCTTTTCACATTTAGATGTACATACAAATCAGCTGGAGATTTTATTCAAATGTAGATTCAGTAGGTGAGGCTGGGACCTGGGGTCTGTATTTCTAACGTAGCCGTTAGATCACATTTTGAGTAGCAAGATGCTTCGTTAAAAATATCCGGATTCTGGTCCGAGAAGAAAACTAACGTAACTGGAGGTGATTAACCTGACTGATACTTAACCTAACTAGAGATGATTCAGCTTCAGTGGAAAAACACAAAACAATAAATCAGGTTGAGTTCTGAAAGACAGAAATGGAAGGTTATGCTTTCAACTGCAGGTTGCAAATGGAAACACAGAATAACTAAAACCGTATTTTACCCCCAGTTCACCTAAAAGCCCTAAACTGACTAGGCTAGTAAGGAGACAGAGACTTGAAATTCTGGATCAGATTTTTAAAAAGCTCCGTGGAACACCCAACCCATTAAAGGAGAACCAAGTTATTATAATATACAAAGATGCGGGACTTCCCTGGTGGTGCAGTGGTTAAGACTCCGCACTCCCAATGCAGGGGGCCCAGGTTCAATCCCCAGTCAGGGATCTAGATCCCACATGCATGCTGCAACTAAGAGCTCGCATGCCACAACTCAGGAGCCCGCCAGCCGCAACTAAGGAGCCCGCCTGCCACAACTAAGACGCAGCACAACCAAATAAATAAATAAATGAACAGTCACATTCTTCAAAAAATAACAGTAATACTAATATATAAAGGTGCTAGTAGGGCTGGGGTTATGACAGATGCCATTTCCAGTTGTGTATCCCTGCCCTTGAGGAAGGAATGCACAGCCGACCAAGCCGGCCAGCCAACCCAGATGGATGGGAGTGGTTGGAGGTATGTAAGTTCTGGAAGATCCAGATAAACTCAGAAGGATAGGCAGCTATGCACTTAATCAAAATAAAAGGAATTCCGAGTCAACAGTCATGGTCATCTGGAGGGCAATGAATCAATTGTTCAGCAACGCGAATTCTTCTGTTTTCCAAAAGGAAAGTTATTATTTCAAACTCAATTAGATTCAACTGGTATTTGTTGATCTTGAAGCCCCAAAGACTTCTCCCTTTCTAGAAGAAAGAGGCTTTGCACAAGCAGGGTGCCTAACAAACACTTGTTGACCTGCCTTATTCTACTGGCTTCTGACCATGAGCAACAGTTGCAGGAAGCTTTTCTTCCTAAAGCTACTTAGCTTGGAACACTAGAGCAGCCTCATTCTTCACCCATAATCCACTTCAGAATGACCCAACACAAAACGCCCCAGGGGGGGAGAAAAAAACCACTTAAGAAGGACGTTAAAATTAAGGTGGGAACATAAGTAAACAGATTGTTTTTCTTAAGAATTCTGTGGATAAAACATTCCTCTGAGGTTTTCAAAGAGAATCATTAATACTTAAAATTTTTATGGCATGGGAATAAGCTAATTTAGCCAGTACACCATTGCCCTAGCCTTCACGCCCACACCTCCAGGGAGACATTTAATCCTTTCCCCACTTATTGTTTTTAACTAAAGGGAAAAAGCAAGTCAGACATTCAAAGAATGGACTTCAAGCCACGGACCTTGATTAAGATCCAAGCTGACATTATGGAAAACAGTACGGAGGTTCCTCAAATTAAAACTAGACCAAACATATGATCCAGCAATCCCACTTCTGGGTATATATCCAAAGGAAATGAAATTAATATCTTGAAGAGCTACTGGCACCCCCATGTTTATTGTAGCATTATTCACAATAGCCCAAGTACCCAGTAATGGGTGAATAGGTAAAGAAAATGTGCTGTGTGCATTGTACACACATAATGGAATTATTGGGCCTTTAAAAAGAAGGAAATTCTTCTCCATTTGTAACAACCTGGATGAACCTGGCGGATACTGTGTGAGGTGAAACAAGCCAGGCACAGAAAGACAAATACCACATGATCTCACTCACACGTGGAATCTAAAAAAGTAGAGCTCACAAGAGCAGAGAGGAGAACGATGGTTGCCAGGGGCTGGGGGGTGGGGGAGATGGAAGGGAGTTTGTCAACGTACAAACAACCAGTTACGTAGAATCAATCCCTTCTGGGACTTCCCTGGCGGTCCAGTGGCTCAGACGCCGCTTCCAATGCAAGGGGCCCAGGTTCGATCGCTGGTCAGGGAACTAGATCCCACATGCCTGCCACAACTAAAGATCCCACGTGCCGCAACTAAGACCCGGCACAGCCAAATAAGTAAATAAATATTAAAAAAAAAAAAAAAAGAGGATCTAATGTATAGCACGGTGACAGGATCTAATGTATAGCATGGTGACTAGAATTCGTAAAACTGTATTACATAGTTGAAATTTTGCAAAGAAAGCAGATCTTCAATGTTTCCACCACCAAAAAAATTTATAAGGTAACTATGTACGGTGACGGGTGTGTTAAATTAGCTTGATTGTGGTCATTTTATAATGTGTATGTATATCAAAACATCACGTTGTATATAATTTTTATTTGTCGATCCTACTTCAATAAGGCTGGGTCGTTGTGCTTTTTTTTTTTTTTTTTTTTAAAAGATCCAAGATCTTTTTTAAAGACTACCGGCTCAGTGTCTTATCTGAGTTTACTCTCCCAAACTTTCTTTACACGTCACACTCCCCATCTCAGAAGGGAGAGTGGGGACTTCCCTGGGGGTCCAGTGGTTAAGAATCTGCCTTCCAATGCAGGGGACACGTGTTCGATCCCTGGTCCGGGAACTAAGATCCCACAAGCCGCGGGGCGACTAGGCCCATGTGCCACAACTAGAGAGCCCGCGCGCTGCAACTAAGACCCGACACGGCCAAATAAATAAAAGAAGGGAGAGTGGACACAGGCGAGGAGCACTCCTGGGGGCTGAGGAAGAAGCGGGAGCATTTGACAAATAAAGCCTTCGCCCCTCCTTCCACTGGGCTGGAAGGTAATCAACCACCTTACTCAACAAACACGCCCAAGGAAGGGCCACCTGAGCTGACGGGGGTAGATTTTGCTGAGCACAGCACCAACCCCGCCCGTGTCCTCAGGAGCTCCGGCTGCCAATCAGCTCTGCGATGCTCTGTGCTCTTTTCCACGACCCCGCCGTCAAGCAAGGCCGCTGGGCCTGCTAACGTCTGGCCTCCCTTTGGGTTCCGGGCTTGCTGATGGGGAAGGGTACTCATCACGGAAACGACTCACAGGCGGGCTGTGGGCCTTGGAAAGGAGGAGCTGCCCTGAAGATGTGCTCTGCAGGCTGCACACCCGGGCCGGCTGCCCATCACCTGACCCTGGCTCCCCGTGGGCCCCCCGTGGCCAAGCAGCCCGCAAGAGCGCCTTGCAAACAGCTGAAGCAACAAGACAGTCGAGCAGACCTTTCTGGCAGAGGGCTCTGTTGGTTTTCCAAAGACGAAGCTTCGGATGAGCTAAGGCCAAGAAAGACAAAGGCGCAGAGGGAGTGTGATCTCTGGTTGCAGAGTTCTGTGGTTTCACCCGCCCAGTCGGACCACGGTCACTGGGGGCGCTGGCTGCAGCCAGGAGTCACGCGGGGGTCCCAGGGCACCAGCTGCCCACGTCTGTCGGAAATGATTCCCCCACCCCCACCCCCGCAAACCCCGTGCCTTCAGTGATCCATCCGGCGAATGGGGACCGAGGCACAGGTCTCGATCTGGGCGCTGTGCGTTCAGCAGTGAATGACACACAGAGCCCACTGCCCTCCTGCCACTTACCTGCTGGGGGGAGGAGGGGAAGACGTGGACCCAGGAAACGCATCAGGGAGAAAATCACCACAGGAAGGGGACTGGGGAGAGCGAGCCAGTGAGCAGGGTCGAGTTAAAGGAGAAGGGCGGGGACCACCTCACTGACAAGGTGATCTTTCTAGGTGGATCCAGGAGAGAAGGGGAGGAAGCTCTGCGGCTCTGGGAGGTTCAGTCGGGAAGGGATGCCGCGGGCAGAGAACCCAGCAGGGCGCAGGGCTGGGGCACGTGAGGGCAGCCGAGAAGCCGCAGGAGA